CAATCTCCACTCTGTTAGATAGGCTTCCATTGAAAAGCACTACAAACGCATAATTTGTTTATGTTGTACCAGCAATCTTTGACAAAGCAGACTGTCTAGCTGAGACAAATGTGGTTAAACCCATTTATTGTATTATTTCTGCTACACAGAACAAGCTCTTAAAACGTAGAAACTAGACAAGGCACAAAGCTCTAGCTGTCTAAAGAAATCAAGAATAGATGACTTCTTGTTACACTAGCCCCCTTTACACAGAGTAGCATGTTCCCTCCTGGAAAACATCCACTGTGATTTCTTTCTTTTCTTTTTTCCCCCCCCCCCCCCCCCCACTGCTCCTTTTTATTTTAAAGTGGGTAGTTCAATGACGTTTATGTTTCAAGGTTTTAAAGTTTCTTTTGTTTTCTCTAGCATCAATAGATATAAAATAACTAAGTCAGTCAAAGGATGCCTTCAGATTAAAGAAACAAGGGAATATTTTTGAAAGACTAAATGGACTTCTTAAAGAATAATTTTCCAGACACACTGTCTGGTCTTCCTGACTTAATGCACACTCAGAAGTTTTGCCTGACTAATGAATGCTGGACTGACACCCCCCACCCCTTCTCTCTCTGTTTTTTAATCATCAATCACATATTTCTCAAAACATTACTTCATTTTTGTTACACCTTCTGCCTTATTTTAAAATAATATTCCTGGATGTTTATTTCAAATGAAAGGCACGGGGAACTGATGAATTAAGTGTTTATAAACCTGAATTTTCAGATTGAAAACAACCTTTTTCATGATGCAAAGCCTTCATAAGAAAAAATTGTCTTTTAGCCCTAGTTTCTTCTGTCGTATATTACTCCTGGTACACTCTTCTACAAGAACTAGCTGGCTACTGTACACTTAATATGAGAAGGGCAATCTTCATCTCTCAGGAAGGGAGCCTCAGAAACTCCACTTACTTCAGTGGAGCAGGACATACTCCCAGGAATGGAGTGTGGTCCATGCCAATCTCTGCTTTCTATATTTAAGGCTCCCTTCTCTGGCTGATTTGCATATGCAACTGCAATTAATGTTACTGGGAGTAGAGTACACATACAGATGTGCTTAGTGACCGGCATATTAAAACATCCCTTCACTCTGATGAAATTTAATAAATGAGTTTTCCCAGTGTTATTACTATAGATGCTCAATAAGGAAGATCTTTTAAATCACAGAATTGTTGCTGTCATGGTTAACCATAATTAAAAGGAAAAGAAATAGGAAGAGTAGTCAACATCTTAATGTTTTATCATTCACATTACTTCTATAACCTTCTTGCCTCTCCTGGGGCATTCTCTCACATACCCTTTTGCAGCATACTGGTTTCCGCATTATTTTATTTAACCTTAATCACAGCATTCATCTCTGGATTTGAGAGGAAGCTGTACAGAGCTACCATACGAGCTGCCACTCAGAACATTCAGTTTGGCATAAAATTAAAAAAGTATGCAATAAACTGGCTGAATCCATAGGGAATCCCTCAAACAGCATGGATAATGAGGGGAATCCATAACAGACATAAACAAACCCAGAAAGATGTCTGGGGCCAACATCATTATGTAAGATATATGCCCAAGATGTATGGGCATACGTTTGAATGTTCAAACTCAGCCTGTATTAGATTGATTGAATCTCAGCATGGGGTTCAGTTAATAAACAAACCTTGCCTTTGGAAAATATTTGGGACTGAAATCAATGTATTATAGCCAGGCACCTACTACATGTGGCACTAAGATGCCTTCCCCTACCTTAAAGCTTTGTTAAAACAGGATGAAAATTTGAAATCCATACTGTCAGAGGAACAGATACAATTTTCAGGTTAAGTGGCATCACTCTGAAGAAAGTTGTTATCCACAGACTATTTCAGTGTATGCACCAGGGGCATATAAATAGAATTCACATTAAAAATTAGAGACCAGTTTGAATCTTTGGGCTTTGATTCACACTTCCCATGTTTTTTAAACATGTTACCCATACTCTTATAAAGGATACAACAACAATGCTAGCAAATCTTTTCGGTAATTATTAATTTCACTGTAGAATAACTTCTTTGCTATGCTTCGCTTGTTAAAAAAATGCATTTTGCTCACCTCAGGGTACACCATTAGCCTGCATATTTGCTCTTTTCCCTTTTTTCCAGCTTTTGTTTAAAAATTCTTCTTAAACCTGTATATTAATCACAGCTCAAAGGGTGAAAGAATTTGCAGGAGTCGCTGAAGTGCTACTTTTTTTCCAAAGTAGGAACTAGTTAATGCTGACACTTTTTACATGCATTGAAATAGGAATAAAACAGACTTAGAGGAATGGAAAAAAAAAAAAAAAAGTAAAAGTAAGGATAAGGGCTGACTTGGTGGCACAGAGTCCCACGTGTAAGTCTAACATAACATCTTGCAAAGCTGTGAGCCACAATGGTATGCCTAGTTTACAGCCAGATCCAGAAAATAAGGTACCTTTGTCAAAATAATTGTCATTTGGTCAGGTAATAAGAAAACAAGAGAAGGAACTCTACAAAAACGCCTATCCAAATAGACTTCCAAAAGCAGAGAAGGCAAAAAGCTTCTTTTGATAGCTCGTCTTACATCGGTGTTTACCTGTAACCCACTGCACTTCATTCTGAAGTTCAGCTTTAGGGTTTAAATGTATAGGAAACAATAACACAGTATATCAGCATATGTATTTGTAGCATCTTAGTTCTTCTGCAGTACATCCCCATGTGGACAATGCTTAAGTCCACTGTAAGATGCCTTTGTGGAAACTTGTTTATTCAGTAGAAGGAGATTATTCTTAAAAAGTATGCCCTATGGAAGTTAGTGTGTTGCGCATGCCATTACAAAATCACACGTCTTAACAAGCAGAAACCTTCCTAGTAGTTTCCTATTCCACTTTCTTAAAGTGAAAGTGAATGTCACCTTCTCTATACACATATAAATACATAAGTGTATGGATATGCTTATATATTTTATATTATAAAAAGCACATTCTACATATATACATGTGTACATATGTAAGATACAGATCTGTATACATATATGTAGAATACAGATTTATATACACACATACATATATTTTGTATTAATATTTTTCAGTATACATACATAAATATACACAGAGAGAGGTTTAAATATTTGTAGGATATGCCTTCCTCTTGTTTTCCAAATCTCTCACTTGGAATTTCAGGGTTCTTAGACCCACCTGGCTCTACAGCTTGCTTGCTGCAGTCCTGGATAGTCGCCATTTTCTTGGACACACAAAACCTATGTTTTAAATTCTTTACTCTGGGAAGGCCTGTCTATCTGGGAAGACTTCTATCTCTGTAAAGATGTACTTCGGGCACAAGACACTTAACAGGTTCACTGCTGAGTGGAGAAGTCAGCAAGCCAGCTGGGCTAATCATAGTGATAGACAACTTCAGTAACAAAACAGATTCATTTGGAAATCACTCTATCACTCACATCTATTATTGCTGGATTTATTTCTGTCTATTTATCAATTTTTTTTTCTCCTTCACTTAGTCTTTTCACTCCTCACCTTTAGTGTCCTTGCAAAACTTTTAGCAGCCATTCTCACTTCATCTCTTGTGGAAGATATTTTATATTTATACAGGGTAGCCATCCGGCAGTAAATTTTCCTATCTAGGCCACAGATACCAAGAATGTAATGCCCAAAAGTTTTCAATAAACTTCCAGCATGAGGAAGGAGACCACAGTGAAGTACATTTGGCTTTCTTGGCTTTAGGAAGGTTATTGTCACAAATGCAAGAAAAACTTAAACATAAAAGTAGTATCGTATCAAGGAAATGAGACACCCACAAACATCTATTTTTTAAGATAGACACATGCAGCTGAAACAAACTAAAATACTTTTCTAAAGCACTCCTTGTGCACTCAAGGGTCTTCGGAGTAAACAATACCCCTTCCCAAACTCCCTAGTTTGTCAGCATGCGCTTGTCTTCCATTGGCTTTGCAGGTAAATAAGTTTTCAGGATGTAATTTTCCATTTCAGATTTGATGCATTTTTCAAGATAATTTTTAGGTTGGTGTTGGTTTTGGTTTCATTGTGAAAGCTTGTTTAACTCCAAAATTACAGCACACAAAGACAGAAGAAAATATACCAACATAGGTTTCCTGAGATACAAGGGCTAATGGGTTGAACAGGATATAATGTGAGATTCACAGGCCGATTAATCTGTGCGTTTATTTTGGACCACACTGGTACTGTATTTTTAAGGGAAACAGAGGGCATAGGTGTAGTATTGTATTTTAGGGAAAACAGAGGAAGAGATTTTGCTTGCTATTAGGTCAGTAGTGTGCCTAAACAACTTAATGCTTAGACCCTTAAATCCACATCCATGCTTTTATAAATAGACTGGACATCTATGTGATATTATTACTGTGTATCTGTTTCATCTTGTGGCTGACTAGAGTAACAATTCCCACTGCATTTCCAACGGTATGTTCATCCCAGATACCACTGCCCTAGAGCTGGCTGGTGCCTGTGGTACTGTACTATTTGCAGCTTTTACAAGCAGCAGAGTGTACATCTAAGTCATCTTGGTGTACACGTTGTATTTTTTTCAGTATATGTCAGCCTGATCTCAGTTCTCTCTCCTGGAAGTCTGGACCACGTTCAAATCACTCATTCATTTTCCCTACTCACTGTCTGACTGGCTTTTGCTGTTACCAGCCGCTGCTATAACCTCTGTGCTATGCATAATAAGAATCTTTCCCATCTGAGTTGTCTGCCATGGTTACTGGAAATCTGCTGTATGGAGCATTCCCAAGAGCAGGAAAGAAAGGTATCTTTAGTGCGAGTGGATAAATATCACCTTTTCTTTAACAAGAACATCTAACCTCACTGAATCACATCTAATGGTGGCTGCTAGGCTGCCCCCCCCCCCCCCCGATCAAATTTATGTTAATTTGCATTTTACTCTTTCTAGTGTTGACATAATAACTCTTTTCATCCCCTGCACCAAGTTAAAAAAGCAAAACAAAACAAAACAGCTCCCTAATGTTTCACAAAACTTCCAGAAAGCATAGCTAGGGAAAAAGCTATCTGATCACTACCTACTTATGATGCTTTTCACTGAGTTTGCATGTTAATTTATTGCATGCTTTGTTTGTAAATGTGCTTCTGAAATGAAGCATTTACAAATATGATTAATCTACAGATTCCGAAGCATGCAATAAAGAAACAAATTACTGAGTGCCCTTGTCCTTTTACACAGAAGCTAAAATACAACTTCCAAACATCTAAGACTGCCTAGCTTTACTTTTCCTTTAACTAATGTTGCTTCAAATGGAAGCTTTCAGCAATTGAATTTTCTCTAAATTCCTGATTCCAGTTTCATTTATACCAGTGTAACTCAGAAGCAACTGCAACATATGTTGTAAACCCACACCAGCGTAAATACTGTGTGGAGGAGGTCAAAATAAGGCTGTTATTGTATGATTTTTGAAGTGCTCATGTAGATTAATATTCTCACCCTTTAACAGATATAGGCACATCAGCATGAATAAAGAAATGCAACAAGTTGAAGATTCAAAGTACATTTACTAGTGTATTTTATGCCACTCACATTTTCAGCCAGACCACCCAGAGCAAAGAAAAGAAAAAGCCACAACAAAAAAAGCCCTCTGCATTGTTTGCAATAATATGGAAGGAAATTGAGTGTATATTCTCTTCTTCCTGTATTTTCCAGCTAGATTAAGCTGTTGTCTTCACAATTGCCTCCCAGCTGCTGTGACTTGTGAAAACAACAGACCCTGCTCTGTTGTCTGCAGAAAGCCTGGATTGTTACGAGTAACTTTATTGCAGGCACATGAGTGTGTTAAGACTTTAAAACACGCTCAAATGTCATGTGCACACCCAGTGACGGGCAAGAATAATTATGAAAAAACAAGAATTCTATGTCTACGAAACAGTGTCAGACAAAATGGGCCATTCATTGTGTTCCTTTGGGAATGCTTGGACTCTCCAGCCAGAAAACAAAAAAGGCACTTTTTTCCTGCTGTAGGCTGAATACTTAGCTTTGCCATCTGAGCCCTAAGAAAACATGGGCCCCCTCTCTAACTACTGGCTGGCCTGCACACAGTAAAAAGTATTAATGTCCCCCTTTTTTCCAGCAGTTCCCTCTGTGTAGGCTGCGGCCAATGTAAAGTCAATGCAAAGACAAAACAGTTTGCCTAACATTAGTAAAAAAAACATAACTCTTGTACAGTCTGAAAATCCCTCTGACACACAGAGGTTTTATTCTAAGCCATACCGCCTCTATCCTTCAGCAAGTTACTGTAGGTACTGTTAATGCTTTTAGCAGGTAATAACCGTTGCCTGCTGCTCAGCTTCAGTCTTTCTAGGATTTTACAGATGAGCCCAATTGTGTAGAATTCTTCAAAAATATTATCTAACTGCCTGATTTACTACTGTCCCTTTTCACAATTGGTCCTCCTAATCAGAATTCATTTCCCCCTGAAAGGATTAATACAAATGAAAACATGACATGACTTAGTTCAATATCAGGTCATTTTGACACCATTTTTTTTTCCTCACAGGTGGACTAACTCCTGTCTCATCTGAACAGTGGTAATTTAGTGTGAGGTGTCCCTGCCCATGGTGGGGGAAGTTGGAACTTGATGACCTTAAGGTCCTTTCCAACCCTAAATATTCTATGATTCTATGAAGTTATGAGCAAATAAAAAGCTTTTGTTGTTATTTTTAACTAAAATTTCTGTATCAGAGACCATTTGGCTAACATACCAAAGCTAAGAAATCACATTTCTCTGTATTTTATTGTGACCTAGCATCTATCCAGCATATTCAGTTAGGTGTCTGTACATCTCTAAATGAGTGTACCATACCAATGCACTATTAAATCTGAGCATTTTTTTTTACTGAAATAGAAACAACCCACCATGACTTGGAAAATCCTTGTATGCTACTCATAAAAAGATGAGAATTATTTTTCATGAATTAAGCTTCATGTCTGAATTTGGATTTGCAGGTTATTTTTAAGACAACTTGCATGGATTTTACCTTGCTGTGCTCAAAACAGGCTAAGAAATGTGAAAACCTTAATTCTTGTCGGTTTCTGGTAAACCTGTGGGTTCACATGGAGCAACAGAAGGAATAATGAAGGACAAAATGTACCTCCAACAATTTGTTGCTGTTTTCTTCACTAATTAGTCTCCTTAGATAAAGTAAGTAGATTACACCTACAGCATTAAAAGGGTTTTCAAAGAATATGGTGCTTTAACTTCAGCTTCTACCCTTCTTCAGGGCACAAAACTGTCCTTTCCTATTTGCATAGCATATCAACTGTACCTAGCATAATAAGACACTGATTCTAGCTTGGGTCTCAACCAACTGTGCAAATATTAGTACTTGTAATATTATAATAGGAGGTTATTACGGTAAATACTGGGTCATTCCAAGATATCCCAGGGGTATACATCAAAGATGAATATGCACAAGTAAATTGTCTGTCCTTTTCTAAAATCTAAAGAAGAAAGGTTTCAGATCAGTTTTTGTCACTCCTAATATGAAAGTACAGGCCTACCTTTAAATATGTATTTAAATTGGAAACATAGAGTACTATGAAATGAACCATCAGGCCATCCATGAATTTGTTTTAACAATCCAACAACATCACCATTTCTCATTCATCCACTTAGCTTAATTTTCCTACCATCACTTTCATTGCTGAGGTTGTCTCTATTAAGCCATTTTTTGTGCATCATTAACTTTTAACCAGGCATCGATAGCTTTATTGTTTAAATTGCGTATGACTTTATTTAACGTCAGCATTTCTTCTGGCTCCTGACATGAAGTCACATTTTATAACTAATTAAATTGATCCCTGGGAAGCAAAAGCCACTAAACGGAATTATTCGTACCCAAGTGTCAATATATTAAATCAAAGAGCTAATGAGTTGGGTCACTGCTTCTTTTATCTGAAAACTACTGCAAAATAGAATTCATACCAACCTCTACTTTCTGCTTTAACAATCAATTTTATTTAAACCAATTGTAACTAATTAATAAATTTTGATATAGCTGCAAATAATGCATTCAAGCCAGATTTTACCACTTGCACACAATGTTAAAGTCACTTTTTTAGGTGGAAAAAATTTCTCTGTTGATATAAGCTGTCTAAAAGTGTATTTTTTGAACTCCCGTGTGTAAAGAACATTAGTGCTAGGTCATGGGAAGCTTCTAAAATGACCTAAAAGGTGTTTTGTAAGTAAACAGTTTTGAGAACTTTTCAGTTTTCAGCCATTTCTATTATAGGCGTAAATCAAGATGAAAATTTGCCTCTTGGAGCTGACAATACTGCCTAACGAAAGTGATTAAGAAATTACTAAATTTGTCATGTCAGCTTTTCCTATAGCTCTTGCAGCTGCTGAGTAATATTTTGGATGCTTTCACTATTTACATCTGGACACTACTTTTAAAATTCATCACCTAATAATTCATACCACTCACAGAATTAGTCATAGTTCGGCTTTCTTTCACAAAATGCTTGTGGATAGCTCAAGAAAGCTATCTTTACTGAAGTTGTCTTCAACTAATCTGTTTAAGTCCAGCTTGTTTAAAAATACATTCTGAAAATCTCTCATGCCTCAAAAACACATTTTACTGCTGATTTGTTTTGCTTGAGATCCAATCAACTTCTCTTATTTTATAACCTTTGGAGAGTTTCATACAGGCTAGCGCATTTCGATGCTTACTAATATTTATAAGCTATTTATAAGCTATAATTATGCTTGAAGTCAAACGGTATTAAAAAGAAAAATATGAATTAAACAAAAAGGGGTTGAGTGTCATTGCCTTGCTTTGCTTGAGTGGGGAATGGGTGGGAACACAACTCTGTGTAGCAGCACACTGAAATCACAACCTGGAGTCAACTCCTGCAAGCGTGCAAGGCAGGAGAGGACAGAATAGAGTGTCTTGACTGGCTCAAACAGCTAATTTCCTGATGCAGCTTGCCATACACATAAAGAGATCAGAAAAGAGAGTGTAATAACACTTTCTCTCATTCATTCATCCTCTTCCCCACAGCAAATAGTAACAAGACTGTAACTGAGTTACCACCAGCTCCTTAATCTACATCTTAGGGCTGCACCCCTTAGGCAAAACCAACTGTAAAATTATAAACTGGTTTAAAAGAAATACTCGAGCAATCATTGAAAGCAAAGCTGTGTTTGTTCACTTTAAACTAATGGTTATTTTAACACATAATGGTGAATCAAATATAGGATGGCAGCAATGTCCCTCTAAAACTCGGTTTTGTTTTTTACCACTAAGATCAAATGCAACACAAGGAACACCACAGATGCTTTCAAAAAACGCATGTCCTTGTACCCACACACCATTTGCTTTTTTAAACAGTAAATGAGGGGTTTTCAGGGGGCACAGTGATTACCTTATGAAACAACTTTAAATAGTCACTTTTATCCATTTATAAATGGATATGCTTTGGAGGGTCAAGTATGCGCTGCTGTTTCACATCACACATTTTCTTTTGTTTCCAATGGTTAAATGCCATGAGAGCCCTTGACCCCACTACAGAACATCATTCAGTATGTGGGGGAAGCCACAGACATGGCTGCACCTGTGGCTGGCATGAGATTATTAAAAGTAAAAGGTAATTTCAAAAATGAGTTTTGTAATAGTGAGACATTTGCACCTTCAAATGTTCATTAAATGTCTTAATATACATTCTGCAGTCTTCATTCTTGTCTAAGTATTCTTTTTTTTCAAATACATAAAATATTTGGCGCTGTAGCAACATTGTCTTGTAGTTAATCTATGGGATACTTTGACTGGTCATTGAATAGAAATAGATTTTTTTTTCTCCCATTTAGACTCCTCAAAAAGAAAAAAAAAATAATATTGACACAAATGGGGAAGTTTTACACAAGTATTCTTGACTTTGGGAGAAACAAATAGTAGTGCCTTTAAAGAAAGACTTAAAATACAATGGTACTACAATTCTGTCAGGCAGTTTCCTTGCAAATCACAGAGGGGGGTTTGTGTAAAAAATGCTTCAGAACCATGTTATAAAATTATGTTGTTGCCTGAGTTCACTGCAAACAAATTTCAGGCATGATGCTGGAAATCGCTAGAAACAAATGCTTTAAGATTGACAACTGCAACAAACTCTGCCCATACTAGTCCAAAAATTACGCTGTAGCTGCTAGTACCAGCTGCATTTAAAAACGGCTGAACACAGTTGAAAAGAAAAAAGAAGACTGATTTAGAAAAGGTCCAAATTCTCATAAATTATAATGGCAAAAATTGTTAGCAAAACGTGTGGGTACCTGAGGGGAGGAGGAGAGGAGAGCATTGTTTCCCAAAGCAATATGGTTCACTGCACATTACCCAGCTAATGTTGTTCAACCAGGATAATAGCTAAATCATGGGGAAATCTGTTTTTTAAACTAAGCTGCCTAGCAAAGATCCTGATGATATATTTGAGGTTCAATACTGCCCATGAGAAAACAAAACATGGAAATAATGTAAAAACTAGCACTAAATATTTAGTATTGGCCAAATAGAAATGCTGGGAAACATATCTGTCATCACATTCAAAAATTGGTTTAGCTTATGGTTTCGGAGAGTTATGCAAAAATGGAGAAGAATAGGCCTTCCTAGGGATATTTCCAAATTCTTTTGCATGCAAAATAAACAAATTCATCTGTTTAAACTCTGAACACTGGGGTTTGGGTTGGGTTTTTTTTTTTAAATAAGCAACCTGGAACACAGGATCAAGAAAGAAATTTAATTTCTATTTGTTTAAAAACAAAATCACACCTTTTTTAAACTAATCTCTTCACTTTTGGTGGGGAAAAGACATACATTACTAGTGCCAAATAACTTACATTTTGGATGTCAGTATTAGAAAAAAATATTCAGGAACACAACTCCATAAAGGAATCGGAGATGAACACATAAAATCTGTTACCATACCACCACTTGCTTTCTGGGGAGAACAGTGGGAAGGGAGGGTTTGCAGATGTTAAATGCAAGCACACACATTAATAACCATTAAAATGGAAAAAGAATTGCTCACTGACATACTAATGCCAATATTTTAAAAGAATTTTCCCCCTACTTTTTGCCAGTGATTTCACCGTTATGCCATTGCTGTTACTATACTCCAGTGGAAAGTGATTTGTTGATATCCCCTTAGGTCATTCCAAGATGTATGGAGCCTACAGCAATTAGCTGCTCTTGTTTCTGTCAGTTTTCTGGTGCTAGACCTACCTTTTCATGAGATATTTTTTTCTTTCTTACTTTATACTAGATGCTTGCCATTTACCTTGCTCTGTATATTATACAGATAACTATATACAGATAATAACTAAGCTAAAATGCTCAAGACCAATACAGTAGTCTTTGTACTCCAGAGTTAGCACAACAGCTTTTGAAGGCATCTAATATTCTGCATGAAGACAGGCAGAGAAAATGTGGTAGGAAACATGAAATATTTATGCAAATTTTTATGATTTATCTTGGCAATTTTTTGCACATGATTATTTTCTCTAAATGTACGCTCACAGTTGTCTACATAGATGGAAACAAGTAGCCTACATGTG